AAGCAAAATCATCTAGTTTCGAAAGTTTCTCCATTGCCTGTGACGAGAGCACGGACATTAGTGGCAAAGCTCAATTAGCAGTGTTTCTTCGTTCTTGTGACAAGAATTTTAACATTTTTGAGGAATTACTGGAACTAATACCGATGCCTGGTACTACCACAGGAGAAGATATATTTACTTGTGTTTTTGGACTTCTGCAGAAATACAATCTACCTTTGGCAAAATTAAATTCTGTAGCTACAGATGGCGCTCCATCAATGACCGGGAAAAAACAAGGGCTTCGTAGCATTACTAAGAAAAAAACTTAGTGAAATTCACGGTTCAAACATTCATCATATGCATTGTATTATACATCAAGAAGTTCTATGCACGAAAGTAATAAATATGGAGAATGTTTTGTCATATATAAAAAAAGTTATAAATTTTATAAGATCTCGAGGTTTAAATCAGCGTCAATTCACTGCTTTCTTAAGTGAGTTAGATAGTGAATATTCGGGTTTGTCCTACTATACCGAGGTACGTTGGTTATCTTGCTCCAAGATTCTCAAACAATTCTGGGATTTGAAAGAAGAAATATGTCAGTTTTTAAAAACGAAAAATCAAGACGTAAGTTTGTTTTACGATCCAATATGGATACAAGATTTATCTTTCTTGGTTGATATAACCAAACACTTGACCGATTTAAATTTATCGTTACAAGGAAAAGATCATATCATTACGAACATGTTTGACATAATTAAAGCATTCAAATGTCAACTAGTTCTTTGGGAAAAACAACTTAAAAATGAAGATTTGATTTTTTTTAAAAATGAAGATTTGATTTGATTTGAAAATGAAGATTTTTTGATATTCGATGACGTGCAGCATGAACAAATCAAGTTTAGATGATACTTGTTCGTATCAAAAATACGCAGAAAAAATTGCAAATTTCACAACTGAATTTGGAACGAAGTTTAATGATTTTAGTTCCCTCGAAGACAAATTTTTTTTTTGTTTTCTTCGATTTTCTCAATAAGTATTGACTCAGTACCCAGCCATATGCAAATGGAGGTGATCGAGATTCAATGCAACTCAAATTTGAAAGCAAAATTCATTGAAGTGGGCGTGCCTGAATTTTACAAATATTTACCAGCCAGGTTTGAAAATACTCGAAAATTCGCATATGAAATTATTTCCATGTTTGGTAGCACTTATCGGTGCGAGCAGTTATTTTCAGTCATGAAAGGTAATAAGTCTCCTATTAGAAACCGTATTAATGATGCTCACCTTGGGTCAGCGTTGAAAGTTATCACTGCAAACAAAATTTCTCCCGAAATAGGAAAGATAATAGCAGAGAAGAGATGTTAAGTATCAGGACGTAAACATTAAATTTTTTCTTGTTCTTTTCTATATAAATATATATTATCAGGTTCAATGTTCCGTCTTACCTTCTTCGGGAACATGCACGGACCTGACTCGGAACAGAGAGCTTACTAAAGCTATGTTCAAAACTGTGGGAAGTAAACAGGATACACAAGAAGGGTATACAAAACCCTTTATTTTTCTCTATTTACAATAACTTCCGTACTTCGAAAATACACTGACCCGCTACTTGGGGTCAAAACGTAAATGTATAAAAATAAAACTAAACTCTAATTTAACTTTAAAATAATAAACGTGGAAGATTGGCCTTATATTAACAGGAAGCCGTATGTAGTACAGAGAACTGTGAACACTACAATACGTTTAAAAATTATCAAGAGGATTAAAACCTCTGGCCTGGAAGGCAACCAGTAACAGCGTAAAACTTCTAAGGTAAGCGCCCTGCTCGACTCACTGCTTCCTCTCTCTCGCCGGAAGTAGAAAATAAGAAGTGATAGTAAAGATTTAAAATAAAATAAACGTTAGTAAAACTTAAGATCCTTACAATATATATTATATATATATATATGTTTACTATTGTATTATTCGAAATAAATCTACGTTTCTCTGAATATTGATTTTTTTGTTTTGGCGGCCCGCCTAAAGTTAAACCTTGTTTGTTTGGCTTAAGTGTACCTATGAGTTTGACATCCCTGCTGTACAACATATCACATTTAATAATTAAAAACAGTTATGTGATACAAACGCCATAGGTTTCAGTGTTAAAGTAAACCAGATCGTCCCTACTCTTTCTTGCCGACATGTCGGGATGCGCGCCCCGCCCACTGGGTTAGTCTATCTCTTATAAAGTCCATGTGATATAACCTCTGACTCTAACTCTATTTACAATAACTTCCGTACTTCGGAAATACACAGACTCGCTACTTGGGGTCAAAACGTAAATGTATAAAAATAAAACTAAACTCTAATTTAACTTTAAAATAATAAACGTGGAAGATTGGCCTTATATTAACAGGAAGCCGTATGTAGTACAGAGAACTGTGAACACTACAATACGTTTAAAAATTATCAAGAGGATTAAAACCTCTGGCCTGGAAAGCAACCAGTAACAGCGTAAAACTTCTAAGGTAAGCGGCCTGCTCGACTTACTGCTTCCTCTCTCTCGCCGGAAGTAGAAAATAAGAAGTGATAGTAAAGATTTAAAATAAAATAAACGTTAGTAAAACTTAAGATCCTTACAATATATATATATATATATATATATATATGTTTACTATTGTATTATTCGAAATAAATCTACGTTTCTCTGAATATTGATTTTTTGTTTGGCGGCCCGCCTAAAGTTAAACCTTGTTTGTTTGCTTAAGTGTACCTATGAGTTTGACATCTGTGTACAACATATCACATTTTTTAAAAAAGTATGTATACAACGCCTAGTTCAGTGTTAAAGTAACCAAGTCCCACTTTTTGCCGACATGGGAGCGCGCCCCGCCATGGGTAGTTATCTTATAAAGTCCTGGATACTTGACTCAACTTATTTACAATAACTTCCGTACTTCGGAATACACAGACCCGCTACTTGGGGTCAAACGTAAAATATAAAAAATAAAACTAAACTCTAATTTAACTTTAAAATAATAAACGTGGAAGATTGGCCTTATATTAACAGGAAGCCGTATGTAGTACAGAGAACTGTGAACACTACAATACGTTTAAAAATTATCAAGAGGATTAAAACCTCTGGCCTGGAAGGCAACCAGCAACTGAGTAAAACTTCTAAGGTAAGCGGCCTGCTTCGACTAACTGCTTCCTCTCTCTCGCTTGGCAAAAAGCCACAACTTAAATACTTGGCGTTCGCCAGACAAACTTTGCATAAAATACTTTAACGCTTATAATTCTGGCCGGAAGTAGAAAATAAGAAGTGATAGTAAAGATTTAAAATAAAATAAACGTTAGTAAAACTTAAGATCCTTACAATAATATATATATGTTTTATTGTATTATCGAATAATGACGTTCTATGAATGATTTTTTGTTTGCGGCCCGCCGGTAACTTTTGTTGGTAGTGTACTATGTTTGAATCCCCGTAAACTATCAATTAAAATAAAACGTTTGTGATACAACCAGTACATTTAAGAAACCAGATGTCCCTACCTTTCTGCAATGTCGGGATGCGCGCCCCGCCCACTGGGTTAGTCTATCTCTTATAAAGTCCATGTGATATAACCTCTGACGTCATCACAAATTTACCGTCTATTGGTTCTGTAAGTTACAGACTTTTATTCGATTTTTAATATTTTTTATTACGCATCTTAGCTTTAACGAACATTTTAAAAACACATTGCTCATTTTCAATTGTTTAAATATGCATTTCTTTTCTAATTAATTCTCATTTAATTTAGGTTTCCATTTTAAAATTAATTTGCGTATATCCATTCTAAAGAGATTCCTCACGTTTAGACTGTTAGCTCTTTTGAATTAAATTTTTTAAGTTGGCAGCTAATTTTTTTTTTTTTTTTTTTTTTTTTCTGCTTAATTGTGAACATTTTAATTGAGGAATGTTTTTCAGTGAGTTTTCCGTTCTGCCTGGTGGGCGTATTTCAGATTTTGATTACTTATGAAAGCGTTGTTCTTTCACGGTTAAAACTTACTTGTGTTGTTATTTAGAAAAATGTCGTTGTTTTGATTTTTAAGTCATTTCCATTGCTTAGTTCTTAGCAATATTATAATCAGGAGAATTAATTTCATTTCTTTCTTCTGTTTGGGTGCCCAAAATATGTTAAATTTTTTTTTTCCGTTTGGGTACCCAATATGCGTTTCCTTTCTTCCTCTGTTTGAGTACCAAATATGCGTTTCCTTTCTTTCTCTGTTTGGGTGCCCAATATGCGTTTCCTTTCTTTCTCTGTTTGGGTAACCAATATGTGTTTCCTTTCTTTCTCTGTCTAGGGAACCCAAGCTGCAAGTTCTTTTGTTCGATTCGTTATCGCCATAGAACTAGACTTAAAAAACAAAAGACTTAAACTGAACTGATTTAAAAACAAAACATACAGAAGACCGGGGGGAGGGGAAGGTGAGAGGGGGTCCCAAAGTAGTTTTTTTTTTTTTTCTTTCTTTCTTTCTCACTTTTTCCACTTTCCCCCTTCTTATTATACCGGAGTCAGGCTGTGCAGCTTTAAAGGAAAGCCCACGTGTAAACTGGATTGCCAGATGCCAACTTCTATTTAAGATTATTTATATTCTATTATATTCTATTTATTCTATTCTATCTTCTATTTCTATCTTTTATTTACTTTTATTCTTCTATTTTAAATAAACTATTTTTTAATATAAATTATATTTAATTGATAAATTATTTTAAAATAAAAGCATTTTACGATAGATTAAAAAAACTTTGAAGTCGCAAAAAGTAACTTAAGAAAATGATGGATGTCGCAAAAATTTCGCAAAATCGCAAATACACACAAGTAAGCACAAGTTTGTCAAAAGTCGCAAAATCGCACTATCTGGCACCACTGCACCGGTGAGTACAGAAGACAAGTACTAATATGTATATGAAATTATTTTGTTAAAATTAATGTGTATAAATAAATTAAATTTTCACGAGGAAAAAAATATATTCTGTTGTTTCTTTTTCACAGGTTGCATACTTTGGTCAAGAAAAGGACGTTGTAGATTTCTTCTCCAATATCGGCTTGTGCATCGAACCCCACTATAACCCGGCCGATTTCATTTGTAAGTATTTCTGCTTCTCAGCCTTTTGCAAAACAATTTTTTTTGCATATAAATTAATAAATCCAACGCCATAATCAGCACAAATAAACAAAAGACGTCAATGTCCATCTGCTAATTTATTACGTTGGGTTTCTTCCTGTACGCCGAATTCTTCGTTTTGCAGGCGTCCAGGTTTTGTGAACGAGATTTATGCAGCGAAAATTATTCAAATGATGTTTAGATGTAAGATTATAACTATATTATAGGTAAATTTAATGTTAATTAACCAATTACTGTTATTAAAAACATTTACTATACTATACTTACTTTCCATAGTGCTCACCAGAATGCAAATTAACTGTTTGACTATTGTCGAGAGTTTTGATTGCTTCAGAGTTAGAGCTTTTGGCAGCCTCGCGAATAGGTTGCATGCTATCGTTATCTCTGCCGGGATTTTTCTGGCCTTAGCATTTTGCTAGCCATCGTTAAAAATGCATCGTTAACATACACTCAAACCTGTTTTTGTGCGGTCTTTTTTGTTGCGATATTTTTTATTTGCGCCGTTCTTTTTGGTGCGATATATATAAATTTCATTCAAATTGGAACATAAGTATGCGCTCATATTATAAGGTATTTATCCCGCCTTCTTAGCATGCCTTCGCAGTGTAGTGGTCAGCACGCTGGGCGCGTATTCTAGAGGTCCGTAGTTCGATTCCCGGCGAAGGCTTGCTCATTTTTTCACTTCTCCTGCCTCCAAAAATTACCTAATGTGTCTGTAGTGGCGCCCGAACTAAAAGGTGGTGAATGATAATTCTTCAGCACCGGGATTTGGCGATTGGGTCCTCTACAAACCCCAGTTGCCCTTTAAAAGGGGAAGTATATAAGGTATTTCTCCCGCCTTCTTAGCGTGACTTTATTGTAGTGGTCGGCAAGCTTGGCGCGTATTCCAGAGGTCCGCGGTTCGATTCCCAGCGAGGGCGTTGCTTATTTTTCATCACCCCTGCTTTAAAAATAACCTAATGATTCTGAAATATCACAGCAGGAAAAATCTATGCAGAACTACAACTTTGTCACGAATTAGAATGTCATTTTCTTGCAATCGATGCCAACTCTGAACGAACTTCAAAATTCTGAAAGGCACTTCAATCGTGTATAGCTGGCTCCCAAGACATAGACAAGCGTCTAGTAAAACAACGTTCGTCGCAAAAAACAAATCACTGACTACATGGTAATTAAAAAATGTCAACTCTAGACCAGCGGTTCTCAACCTTTTGACTAACGCGAACCATGTAAACAAAAATTGAAAAAACTTACTAGTTTTTCAATTTCACAATCATTACTAGTTTTTCATTTTAAAATTTCATTTCAATTACTACATTTTACAATGATTATTTTTCAATTTCTCAATAGAAATATAAAAAAACAAATATATTTTGCCATTTCCACAACCTGTTGGCTATTTGTATTAAATATGCATATATAAAAAATATTACATTAAAAATTGGTTGCCATTTTAAATATCAAAATTTAAGTTACAATACTTGAATTCTAAAATTTAATGTGAAATTTGGGCCCGTTTAACAGAGATGAATTTCTTTATGTCTGGTCATATTTCACTTAGCTTTAATAGTAAATTAGGACACACTTTTAATTTTGTTCTGTAATTTTTTTTTTTTTTTTTTTTTTCAATATAACATGGAAGAAAATCCTCGTTCACACAAATAGGTTGTGCAAAAAAGGAATAAAAATTTAATAGCTCTGTAGTGACATTAGGATTCTTGGAAGCAGGCAAGATGAGAAATGAGCAATCGCCTTCGCCGGGGATCAAACCAGGGACCTCTGAAATACCGGCTCAGTGTGCTGACCATTACACCACGAAGGCACGGTTGGAAGGCGGAAGAAATAACTTATAGCTTTATTTGAAGTGTCTTTACAATCTTTTTTTCGGTTCGGCCATAAGTTAACAAGCGTGTTTAGTTTTGAAATCTTCAGTTAGAGTTCCATCACAGAAAATTTCTATCAATTGTTCTTTTTTTTCACAAGATTTTTGAATTTAATCGTTAAAACTACTTTTGCACTTACTATGTTTCTTTGCGTACCACCAGTTAAGAATCGCTGCTAAATGGCTACCAAGGTTTTTTAAACTGTGGGTCGCGATCCTCAAGAGGGGTCCTGCGAGACCTGCAGCAGGAAGTCACCAAAAATTTCAGCAGTTTTGATATTTCTTTAACTTGTAAAGATCTTAAGTTTTACTAACGTTTATTTTATTTTAAAACTTTACTATCTTTCTTATTTTCTACTTCCGGCCAGAGTTAAATGCGTTAACTTGTTTATGGAAATTGTACTTGCTAACGCCCAAGTATTTAAGTTGTGGCTTTTTTTACGCAGAGTTAGAGAGACAGAGAGAGGAAGCAAGTCGCCTTGCCACTTACAAGTTTTCAATCAGTTACTGCTTGCCTTTAAGGCCAGAGGTTTAGTCCTCTTGATATTTAAAACGTATTGTAGTAGTTTCAGCCGTTTGCGTACTACTTACGTAACCTTTTAAAAGGCCAGTCTTAGTGTTAGGCATTTGTAAACTAATTCAAAGTTAGCTTTTAGTTAGAGTTTTAGTTAGTAGTTTTATATTTTTACGTTCAGACCACAATTGGTTGGTCTCTGTATCCCGAAGTACGGAAGCACCTGTAAAGTAATAGAGAATAAAGGGTTCAGTGTACCCTTCCTGCTTGTGTCGTCTATTCCACACATACTGGAACATAGCTTTAGTAAGCTCTCTGTTCCTATTCAGGATACGTTATATTTCCAAAGAATGTCAAAAGACATACAAGTCCTGACTTATTATAATAATATTTCAATTACCAAACAGTTTTGCACAATGCATCTGTAAATAGATAAAGATAAGACAATACAGGCAGAGAGGGGAAAAAAAAAGTTTCGACGTATTCTTTTTACAATATAAACGTGTAAAGACATTAGGTTATTTAGAAGCAAGAAGGATGAAACATTAACAATGTCTTCGCCGGGAATCGAACCACGGATCTCTGGTATACCGGACCAGCGTGCAGAACCACTACACCACGAAGGCACGCTAAGAAAGTGGGAGAAATACCTTATACACTCCCCTTTTTAAAGGGCGACTGGGGTTTTTAGTGGACCCAGTCGCCAAATCCTGGGTGTGGAGAACCATCATCGAACACCCTTTTAGTTCGGGCGCCACTGTATAGACATTAGGCTTTTTTTTGGAAGCAGGCAAGATGAAAAATGAGCAATCGCCTGCGCCGGGAATCGAACCACGGACCTCTGGAATACCGTCCCAGAGTGCAGAACTACTACAACTCGAAGGCACGCTAGCCTTAACGTTCATTTTCTTTGCTTTGCACGTGACGCTGTCATTTCGTCTATTATTTAAAATTTTCACATTGTTGTATGTCTTAACATTAAAGTTAATGACCATTAGACAACATTAGACATTAAAGTTAATGACCTAAAACCTCAATAGTATATTACAGTACAAATGAAAAAATTGACAGCTTCACTCACGCGTGTGTCGGATTTGTGAAATACTTATGTGGTCCCACAACAATTTTGTAAATGTGATGGGGTCCTGGTGGTCGCGACTGAAAAAAGTTTAAGAAACCCTGCTCTAGAAGAACAATGGTATCTTCAAGTGACGAAAGCGATTTTGAACCACTTTTACGACAAAGAAGTTCGCATATTGTCAGACTAAGAAGGGTAATGGTTATACGCTTTGAAAAGTATTGTATGTGTAAAATAAGTACGTATGTATATAAAATATTTAAAAATGCCCGCATTTGTATTTTCTAAATCAGATTCTAAAAGGTTTGGCGAGATTCCAAGTTGCTGCCGACCCTCGTGTCTTGATTTCGTTTAAAAAAGCAATTCCAGTATTTTCTACGTGAGACTTTTTTATGTCATCCCTATTCACCGCATTGTGTTGCGAAAACTATTTTTTGATAGCTACTCGTGAAGTTTTGCGCGATTTTTTTTAATGCAGTCCCTATCCACCGGCGGTGTTGCCAGAAAATTTTCAACTAAAGTAGCATAGAAAGATTGAAAAAGTTGCAAAAATGACAAAAGACGTCAGAGACCACGTGATTTTTGTGACGTGATAGTTACGCATGCTCACATGCCCTCTGAGGTCATCACAAAGTAACTGTGCTCGATTGTTAGTCTTTTTAATTACGTAGCTTAGGTTTAACGAAAATTTTAAAACTATACTGCTCATTCCCAATTATTTAAATAGCCATGTATTTTTAATTAATTCTCATTTAATTTAGGTTTCCATTTTTAAATTAATTTTCGGATATCCATTTTTAAGGGATTCCTCACGTTTAGATTGCTAGCGCTTTTGTACTAATTTTTTTGAGTTGGAAGTTAATTTTTTTGATTCATTGACTTTTTTCGCCTTAATTGTCAACCATTTAATTAAGAAATGCTTTTCAGTGAGTTTTTCATTTCGTATGGTGGATCTGTTCCAGATTCTGATTTCTTAAAAAAGCCTTGTTCTTTCTTTAAAAAAACGCCATTCCTTTGATTTTTAATTCATTTCCGTTGCTTAGTTCTTAGCAATATTATAATCAGGAATGTGAATTTCATTTCTTTGTCTGTTTGGGTACCCAATATATGGCGAGAAAGCTGCAAGTTCTTTGGTTCGGTTCATTATCACCATAGAACTTGGGGGGGGGGATGATCCGACTGTGCAGCCTTGCAAAGGAAAGCCCACACTTAAATCAAATTGCCAGATGCCAACTTCTATTTAAGCTGTTTTTTTAAATATAAATTATTTTTAATTGATACATTATTTTAACATAAAAGCATTTTACAATATACAAGGTGTGACACAAAAACAACGAGACTGGTCCAATAAATAATTGTACTTACAGAATCAGTGCTCCATGACATTATCACCTTCAAAGTAGTTCTTTTCAGTATTCACACACTTCTGCATTCGGTGCTGCCATGGCTGGTAACAGTTCTGGAACGAGGTTTTTGGAAGACCCTTCAGGATATTTTCCATTTTTGCCTGAACCTCTTCAGCTGGGGTATAACGTGGGTTCCCTTTAAAACCATTAGGAAATAAAATAAAGTCGCATGGTGCCTGATCAAGATAATGAGGAGGATGCCCCATCGCAGTAATGTTTTTGCTGGTTAGAAATTGTTTGATAGATAGGGCCGCGTGCATTGTCCTGGTGCAACAGCCATCCATCACTCCACAACTGTGGTCTTTTTTTCCTAATTTTTTAACGAAGTCTTTTTAGAACTTCAATGAAGTAGAGTTGATTAACAGTCTGACCACCAAAACCCATTCAATCATGATGAACGTGCCAGGAGGCCAAGAGGGCGCTCATACGTTTATCATCTTCCACACTGTCCCTTTCCCCTGAAAACCGCTTATGCCATTCAAACATATGGTGCATGAGACAAAGTTTCGTCTCCATAAGCCTCGGTTAACATTTGAAGTGTTTCTTTCGTGGCTGACTTTTTAAATTTCACAAGAAACTTGATGTCGATTCACTGTTCGATTTTTCACATTAATTTTTCTGGCAGAATTCAGTTGCACGTGTTCACTCAATGACGCAGTACTACCCACTGGCGTGGTCGGTTAAGTCGAAACTGGCTGCATGGATACAGGAAGTATGTGGCATGACATCACCAAAACAGTTGTTGCCAACTCCACTTTGTTTTCAAGCTACACACTTAGTCTTGTTTTTTTTTTTTTTTTTTTTTTTTGTGTCACACCTCGTATTAAAAAAAAATCTTTGAAGTCGCGAAAAGTAGCATAAGGAAATGACAGATTTCGCAGAAACTTCGCAAAATCGCAAATACTAAAATTTTAGTAGCACAAGTTTCTCAACACTCGCAAATTTGCGAAAAATCGCACGATATGGCAAAACTGTCCACCGCACAAAAACAGGTTTGAGTTTGAGTGTATTTGAACTAGCTCCTAATTCTTCTCCTAATTCGAGCCATCTAAGGCTCATAATTTGTCCCTGAACCAAATTATTCCTGGTGTAAGGCATTAATGATCCGACTTCGTCCATATTACGTTACCAATTGCATATCGTCATTTAAAGGATTTAAATTCACTTAGCAATATCAATGCAGCTATCGATAATTAAAATCAACCTTGGATCAACCAAACCACCCTTGGATATATCAATTAGCTGATTTTATCTCATATTTTTTAAATGAGTGCAAATTTATGGGATATCCTGTATATACATACATACATACATACATACTGATCTTTCTTCTTTTGCTTTGCAGTGGAACAGTTGAAAAAAGGACGCGAAATACAAGAGAAAATAATTGCTGCAGCTAAAGAATACAAGTAAGCGATGATATTCTTTAGTAACTAAGCAATTTTTCTATCAAGAATCTTTTGGAAGAATTTTTATTAAGTATTTAAAAGTATCCGTTTTGAAATATTCCATAAAATATAATTTAAGGTATTCTTTTTAAAAATATCACTTAAAATATACTTTTTAAGATTGTGCTAAGCTTTATATAGATTATTAGTCCAAAGGGAGAATTTGCCCTGAAGGACTATTAATTTCGTTGCGGCATTTTGCGTTGAAAACTATAAACGGCGAATCACTTTTCAAATTGTTGCCACCCATACTTCGCCCTGTGTTTTAAACGAAATTAAATATAAGAATCTGCATAAATGTATGTATGTTTTCGTTTGGTAAAACAACGGTACCTAGAGCATCAATTTTAATATAATCGCCTGGAATAGGCTCTGGAGCCCAAATGCAAATTTGAATTGTTTAGTCCGATCTATTTCGTAAAACTTTAAAGATTTTTGATTATTACTAAGGATTCAAGCGAGCTATCGCATCGTTTCCGGAAAAATTTTTTATCGCAGCGCGCAAATGTGTATCGAATTTAAGATAGACTCAAGTTAAATTATTTTGCGATATTCCTGTTGAACTGAATTATATGGTTTAAGTGCAAAGAACAGGATATTTAATAAATAAAGGTAACACACAAAACGTTAAAAAAACGCCCCTTTGGAAGTAATTTAAACTCTGAAAACTTCAGATTTTGATAGTCCTGAGGGACTATTTTTTTGTGTGTGTTTATTTTTCCAATAAATTGTTCATCCGCCTATCAACACCCATTTTGTAAAGAAACGTCACCAGTCCTGTTGCTCCCAACAATTTTTCTTAGTCTAATTGTTATCTTTATTATCTTTAGTTTAGTGATGCGCAATTACTTGTCTTATGACTAAGCTGTTTGCATTACATTATATTAAAAAGAGAATAAAGTGTTCGGTTTTAATAAACGCATTTTTTTTTCAAATATTATTTCAGAAATATTAATTTTTTCCCTTCTGCAGAGGGGATGCCGAATATTCAAGTGAATGGACGGAAAGAGAGACTACAGAATTGATAAGTCCACCTTACGAGAATAAATTTCGAGCTATAGAATGCCCACATTGCCAGATTACGATGTGGCACAAAATGCACGACAGGTAAATAAACAGAATTTCTTTAGAATATGGCACATATATATATATATATGTATATATGTATATATAAGAATTCCGATTTGTAGATTGGCGTTATAATTCAATAGCCGGTATTTTTAGGAAAAAAAAAAAAAAAACTTTGTTTATAATAGGATTTATAATATTGTGTATCAGTTGTAAACATCATAACTTTCAGAAAACGATTTTGAAACTAATAATTAGCAGTGCATTTTAAAAGCGCAGTATACCATGGTACACTGCGGGAAAAAAAATGGGACAGTTCTACTGGGCCGATTGAGGAAATTCAACTTGCGTTTTTCATGTCTCGAAAGCGCATCTTAGGATATGTATTAGTTATATATATAGCATTGTTTTACTATAGGTATTTTGACACCAAATCGGATGTTTTTTAGAATGACATGCCAATATTTTTCCATATTTCGATTTTACGATTCAAATGAAGCCAAACAGCCAAGTTTGTAAAAATTGCAAGAGTAGTTTTTAAAAAAATTAGCTCTCAAAAATTTTAGCTCCTCCATATTAATTTAATTTGGTCTAAATTTATTTAATATATCCTTTTTTTTATTAAACTTATTTGATTCCTTCTTCCGAAATTCAAAATTTAGATTCATTCGAAACAAAATTCGCCCATGTTTTATGATTTAATTTTTTAATTTGTATTTTTTAATAATTTTTATAAATTTTTCGAAAAACATTTTGTATTATAATCTATAAAAGTTTTACTATCATCTTACAGTAAATGTATTTCTAAACATACCTGCCAAAAGTTAGACGTTTTTATTCAAAATTTCTGAAGATATACATGAATTTACGTATTGGAGCATTTTGAAATTTGCCATATTTAATGAGAGCGATAATAACGCCGAATGGGGTTTAAGCACTTTTTTTAAATTATTTGAAAGTAGGAATGGGGTGACTTTTATCCGCTCATGCACAATGTAAAAAGGAAAAGGAAAATAAGTTGCCATATATTAAGAAGTTAGTTCCTAGCGGAAACTGACAAAAATGCCCCTAGATAAATTTTTAAATTTCTCCATAAATTTCACACCAAAAATTGCAAAATTTAATATCTAGGCATAATTTGAGTTATAGAATCGGAATATGGAAAAAACTGGTATGTCAATTCAGAAAAAAGTTTCATTTTTGTCAAAATACCTGTATTAGAACAAGGCTATATATAAATCTAATATATATATTCTAAATCGCGCTTTCGAGACCTGAAAAACGCAATTTGAATATCGTCAGTCGGCCCAGTAGAACGGGAGATACAGAACTGTCCTTTTTTTGGGGGGGGGCGCAGTGTACATGCCTATCACGCTAAATTGACTTGACGAGAAATTGCCAAAAGTCGCCAAACGTGGCGACCATTGGGCGAAATTTTGGTCTTATCCCTGTATAAGTGTAATTGGCCTAAATGCCCATATAATTATATAATTGTATTCGGCCTTTTTATGTAACTGTAACCGTATGTTCCTTCCAGTAATTTTGAGAAATGGATGGTACTGGAAGTTTCTCGGTGGGTAGGGAATAACTATATAACACCGGAGACAGGATCAGTTCTCAGTTTTTAGTTTGCACTGAGAGATCTCAGTGCGAGCTTCGCTCTTCAGATGCGCTTTGCATTTCATTGTGTTTAACGTTTTTAGCAGTTTGAATTGGTAACTACTGATTATGCTCCGTCATACAGAGAAGAGCTGTGCGAGTAGTTCTGTTTGCATTCAATCCGTCACGAACCATTGAATCCGTTACGAACCATTCAATCCGTTACAGTATCAGTTATAACATCCATTTTAAATAAAAGTTTACTGTATGAAACCTTTTTTAAGCTGCGTTTTATTTTTTGATTTCGCTGTGTTTAAGAGAATATTTATATGAGAACAGTTTTTTCACCGCTGTTCAAAACTGATAAATCTAAGAACAAGAGCCCGATGAGCAACTACAATTCGTGATGAAGATAGTTTCAAGCGACTTTTCTCAAAATTACAAACTTCGAAAACTTTACAAATCGAAAGCCGCGAGATGTTGTATCTGAATGTTGTAGTAAGAAATAAAGAAGTTAGTAATTATTTATACATAAATATGTGTATTTTTGATGTGTACCTCAAATAAAAATTTTCTAACTAATAGCAGGATAATTATTTTCATGTTTTATCCCGTTTAAGTTAAAAGTAAGTTACGTAATGGCTTATTCAATTAGATTATAATTATTCGAAATCTGAATTATAAAGCATGTAGAGTCATTAGGGTTTACATTTTTTGTAGTTGGAGAAGTGGAAAACATGCGATAATCTCGCCGGCATTCGAACACTGAAACTCCCCATTATAAAATTAACAATGAAATAATATAGATATATTTATAAATATATAAAGTTATATATATTATATCATTAAACATAAAGTAAGAAATTTAGAACTAATATTTCACAAAACCATAAATTGAAATAACTTTAAAATCATATAAATGCAACAAAGAATTTTAAAATGTTAAAACCAAAACATTTCAAACAAGCAAAACCCCACTTCAAAAAATGTTATGAAATTTAATGAAAAATGAACAAAAATAGAAGACGAATTCAATCAACCTCAACGTCACTTCATCAGGGGTAGGAACTTTGAAATTAATTGAAATCTCTCTTCTACAAAAATCCTTGCTTTTCTGTATCCAGAATTAGCCGATGACCAATTTCAATGTATTTTATTTATAATTAATAATGGTTCACCCGAAAATTTTGGTTCCTTCCCCAAAGCAAGGGAAAAACAAAGTAAATTCTAATTAGAAAACTTAGAATAATCTTAAAAAATCTGATGTGTACACCACATGACTTCCTTGTACGGAATATTAAATTATACGCATTTTTTCTTGCATTTCATTTAAACTTATTAGATTGAATTAAACCTACTTCGTCGACAGCGCATAAACCACAATAGAGTAAATGCATTCTTTAAAATTCACTTTGTTTACCATAGCGACACTCTGGCGCTAGGTTTACTTAACAGTATTATATTTCGTTCATATTATAACTCAGAAGCACAAAATTTATATCATTAAAGAATTATCTAATCGTTGCCACATGTTCTATTCAAATACTATACAAGCTAGAAATGATGTATAAAGAAAAATTAAGCAAAAAAACAAAAAGAAACAGTTTTCACAGACGATTGAGTATTTCTCATTCAATTAATTCAGTTTTCACTTCGCGACAAGGCAAAAATACATAAAAACTCAAAATATCTGTATTAAAAATTACGAAGTAAATCTTAAACACTTATTTCCTCGAAAAATTCCAGAAAGGATTAAGCATGATTTAAATAATAAATCAAGGCGTTATCTTTGTTGTTGCGAAGCTAAGTTTCTCTAGATGGCAACAATCCGCTATCCTGCTGTGTTTAAAATGTAAACAAGAGCAATGGCCGCCATCAAAAAATTATAGGCTTAGCGGCACTTAAACAACTTTAAAATTGTTGATAATTCTAAAATATTTAATATTCTAAAATATTTTTAATATGATAATTAAATACAGATTTACAAAAGGCATAAAAACCTTAACCGGAAGATAAGAACCATAATTCAATCATTTTTAAAGCAAAAAATGTACAATTTACAAACATATAAGAGTAAAGAAACCGAGATCACTGAGTCGGGTAACAGAGTGGATATATATATAAATATATTTATATACGTTTGGTGCGGCCGATTGCAACCAAAATACGAGGTGCACATCTACATGTTATAGCAGTCCTATATACAAAATTGCAACGTTCTGAGGCTACTCGTTTTTGAGTTATGCGAGATACGTACGTACATACGTTCGTACAGACGCCACGAAAAATTTTCTTCAGAATTCATTTTAAAGCAGTTTTATAATTTTTTTGGAGGAAAAGAGTGCTTTATTCTGTCCTTACAAAGATATCACGGAAATACATCGTTAAATTGCATTTGAAAGAGGTCAAAATGGGATATTTTCGTTGAAATATGTTGCCTGAAACTTTTCGCGATTACAATACTTCCAGGAGAATTCTTTTTTTTGTTTTTAAAAGAACTGAAACGGAAGTGAAAAAGATTGAAAAAGAAATTGAAAAATCAATATACTTCAGTGATTTTTATTTCTTTAATGATGTCTTTTTATGTCTTTACTGATTTTTAATGTCTTTAATGTTTTTTTATGTCTTTATGTCTTTAATGATTTTTTTATGTCTTTAATGATAATTTTTCTGCAGCTTAATTCGCGAAAATCTAGGTATGTTTGTGTTTTGTTTTAAAAAGAATTGTTTTGTAATTATATATATAAAAAGCATCTAAATTAATTAGTATACTGGAATTAAAGCAAGGTAATTCCTCTATAACATAATTGCAACCGTGTATGAAAGGTTTAACACAATATCAAAACTAATTCAATTACAGAGATAATTCTATTGCTTTTATTCCAATTTACTAATTAATTTAGATGCTTTAAGTTTATTCTACTTCAATCCTGCAGCTATAGCGTAGGACGGGTTTAAAAAAATTTTTTCTAATTTTTTAATTCGATTTTTTATAAAATTTTTTATATATAATTATAAAATAATATATCTATATAATTTAATATAAATAAAATAATTTAATACAAAATATATACATGGATGTTTGTAAGTGTATATTTTTGGTGCGGCATAACGGCACTCTAAATATGTGGTGAGCCGAAAGTCCTCTCGTGCGTTTTGGTGGATGAGAGAGGGGTGGAAGACCCTCAGACCGGACACCCCTGGGGTGCACCCGATCAAAATTAAGGGTGGAACCGAGCTACATCGCACTATCACCTGCAAGGTGCTCATAGCTGTTGCCGACGACAGGAGTATCTTGCGCTCCTTGCCACGAGGAATTTCCTGGGATTGGGCTGATGTTACTGTCAGACAAGTAAGAGTAACGACAACAACAACAACAGCAGCAAGAAAAAAAAACTTTCTATTTTGTTCAGAAAATTTTCCGCCCGCAAGCAATAGGAGTTTCATGCTACTGCCTTAAACAATTTATATTTACTTCTTATACTTAAAAATTCTGAAGCCAAAAACAATTCAATTTTAGTGGAATTTGAGTTGAAATAGCAATCATACTTGGAGGAGTCAAAGCTACAAAAATAAACTTAATATTACGCTATTTTTGTTGCTTTAACTCCACATATAACAAATTTTAATGACTAACAAGAAAACAAACAAACAAAACAAAAACAAAAAAAAAAAAAAATGACGCTACATGTGGTTATGTTGCATTCTTTGCTAGCTTTCTTTATGTAAAGTTTGATCATTCTAAATACCAGATCCTGCGAGAAAGATCCTGAATTAGAAGATAAGCAAGTGTGGGGCGTATCTGGCGAAACTGTCATCACACCATCCCCTGTTGAGCTGAGAGTTATTCTGGATGACGGTCGCAAAATAACTACCCTTTGCTCGAAAAACGGTAAGTAGTGCATTATGTGGTAGGTCAATTCTATTAAAGATGTAATTTTATACCGAAATGGAACGTTTAAACATTTGGTTTGAAAAATTGCGCCGTTAAGAATAGTTAACACTCGATATATAAGTTTTAGTAAAAACCTGTAGAGCCTATTTATATATTTCTTTATACATAACCTAATATAAATAAAATAATTTATATAATTAAAAAGTGTGTCTTTCGTTCGTGCTGCGCGTCAGCTAATAGACCCAGAGCTACGATATTTGGTACGTAGGTGCATCTAGACAAGAGCCAGTGCACCTCGAAGCGATTTTTTCAAACGTCGAATCAGATTTTTTTTAATTTTATCTTTTCGATTTTATCGCATCATTTTGAAGTTTCATTCTTTTAGAAATGCGATTTGGCAACAGTTTTTCATTCAATTGTATACTGGGATGCTGACTTTTGAAAATCAACACTGTTACCACTCGGAAAAGTGATGGCGATCATTCTGTGCAGTTTTTAAATTGAATGTTTCTCTTGGATACTGGACGTTTGTCGAGAGAAGGCAACGGGAAGTTGGTTAATTTATTTATTAGGATAACTAGCAGCTTCGCTGCCAGCCGTCGTCTGGCTTTTAAATGTACCGGAAAAATGGCTGAAGGGAACCCCAAAAGTTAAATTTAAAAACTGCTTAGAATTTTACTCTGCAGAACAACTTCATAAAAAAAGTTATTACGTATAACAAAATTACAATGAAATAAGCAATATCCCTTAATACAAATATTAATTATCCTAATAAATAAATTAACCAACTTTCTTTTGCAAAATCTTAAGAACTCAAATGGTATAAAGGAGGTTCAGGACTTTGTTTCCTGAAAAAATCACTCAAAACTTTTAAATGTCTTAAAGACAGTGAAATGAGCAATAAATAACCTAAAAGAATACAAAAAAACAAAAAATTCTGAAAAGCAAAGTATAATTAATGATATTTTATCTTATATTTTCAAAAGGAAAAAATTACAATGAAATAAGCTATATCCCTTAATACAAATATTAATTATCCTAATAAAAAAATTACCCAACTTTCCGTTGAAGAATAAAATCTGATGTGTACACCACATGACTTCCTTGTACGCATTAATAATATTAAATTATACGCATTTTTTTTTTTTTTTTTGCATTTCATTTAAACTTATTGGATTGAATTAAATCTACTTCGCCGACAGCGCATAAACCACAATAGAATAAATGCATTGTTTAAAATTCACTCTAGTATTTGTTTCCCATAGCGACACTCTGGCTCTAGATTCACTTAACAGTATTATATTTCGTTCATATTATAACTCATAATGCACAAAATTTATATCATTTAAAGAATAGAATTATCTAATCGTTGCCACATGTTCTATTCAAATACTATACTAAAGCTAGAATGATGTATAAAAGAAATTAAGCAAATAAAACGAAAAAGAAACAGTTTTTTACAGACGATTGAGTATTTCTCATTCAATTAATTCAGTTCTCACTTCGCGAGAAGGCAAAAATACATAAAAACTCAAAATATCTATATTAAAAATAACGAAGTAAATCTTAAACACTTATTTCCTCGAAAAAATTCCAGAAAGGATTAAGCATGATTTAATTGGCAATAATAAATGAAGGCGTTATCTTTGTTGTTGCGAAGCTAAGTTAGTTTCTCAAGATTGGCAACAAATCCACTAGTCTGCTGTATGAAATGTAAACAATCAACGGCCGCCATAAAGAAAAGGCTTAGCGGCACTTAAACAACTTTAAATTGTTGATAATTCTAAAAATATTGCATACAGATTTTCTAAAGGCATAAAAACCTTAACCGGAAGATAAAAACAACATAATTCAATCATTTTTAAAGCAAAAAATGTACAATTTACAAACATATAAGAGTAAAGAAACTGAGATGACTGAGCCGGGTAACAAAGTGGATATATATATAAATATATTTATACACGTTTGGCGCGGCCGATTGCAACCAAAATACGAGGTGCATATCTACATGTTACAGTAGTCCTATATACTAAATTTCAACGTTCTGAGAGTGCTCGTTTTTGAGTTATGCGAGATACGTACGTACGTACATACGTTCGTACAGACGCCACGAAAAATTCTCTTCAGAATTAATTTTAAAGCAGATTTATAATTTTTTTTGGAGAAAACGAGTATTTTATTCTGTCTTTACGTACAGATATCACGCAAAAACATCGTTAAATTGCATTCGATAGCGGTCAAAATGGATATTTTCGTTGAAATATGCTGCCTGAAACTTTTCGCGATTACAGTACTTCCTTTTTACTTCGTACAAAGAAGTAAAAAATCATGCAAAACTTTTCAATATCTTAATAATAGTGAAATAAGGAAACAAATAACATGAAAGAAACTCAAAGTAAAAAATTCCGCGCATAATTTTACTCTGCAAAAGAACTTTATCAAAAAGAAATCAATAAAAATGTATTATACATATAAAAAATGACAATGAAATATGCCAATCTCTTAGAAACAGTGACTTAAGAAATAGGATGAAAAATTGTTGGCAAACCCATATTTCTAAAAGAATGAAACTATTCAAAATGATGCGATTTCATCAACAACAAGAAAGGAAAATTGTTGCCAAAATCACATTTTTAAAGGTGTGAGAAGTGTACTCGGAAGCTTCATTTAAATTTTTTTTTTAAAATACAAAATAAATAAAAAATTTAAAATTTTTGGAAAAATACATTTTTCCAAAAATTCTTTTTGTAAAAGCAGTCGCAAGAATGAAAGTTTAACGTGTCCAAAAATCATAGAAAGATAAACTGTACATTTTTAAAAATATACTTTTCTAGAAAAAATCCCGTTGAAAAGCCGCTAAGCTCCCTTTGTAAAATAAATTAATATTTAATCGATTTATTGAAACACGAAATTTATTTTAAGTTTTCGTAAAATAGCTAAGTGCCTACGTTTCATGACGATGTGAAAATGGAGTGTGTAGAGTAAAATTGCTTTCCTATAGCCCACTATGTCTCAAAATGACGCGATTTCGTCACAAAACATAAAATAAAAAAAATTCTAATTCGACTTTCAAAAAAATCGCTTCGAGGTCCACTGGCTCTTGCACTAAATTTCGTAGCCGTGGGTTTATTAGCTTAAGCGCAATGCAAACGAAAGACATACTGACACACACACATAGACTCTTTCTTTTATTATATGTGCCCACCAGCAGCCGAGCGGTAACGTCGCTAAACAGTGGTAGTTCAGTCCGAGGTTCGAATCCCGCGAACGGGCTGGCTGCATGGGAGTTTTCGTGGTTTTCCCCATGTGTAACGTGTATACGAGCCAGTTTCCCTTAGAAAGTACTCCACGAAGGCATCCCTCCTCTTAGGCAGATAGCCCTCGAGGCTTTGCCATACTCACAAACACACACACTTTTATTATATGTAAAGATTAATATTTGTATTAAGAGATATTGCTTATTTCATTGTAATTTTTTTATATGTAATACATTTTAAATTTTTTTTTTGAATGAAGTCGTTTTGCAGAGTAAAATTCTGCGTAGTTTTTAAATTTAACGTTTAGTAATACTCCCTTTAGGCATTTTTCCAGAACATTTAAAACCCAGACGGAGGCTGGCCGCGTAGCTGCTGGTAATTTAATATAGATAAAATAATTTAATACAAAATATATACAATTTACTATAAATATTTCACAAATAAAAGTTAGTTCAAAAGATATGCTTTATTAAAAACAAGCCGCCCAACTGGTACAAAGGTTAGCTTCGCTGACTGAAGTGCCGAAGGGCCCGGGTTCGAATCCGGGAGAAGACATGGATGTTTGTAAATGTATAGTGTCGGTACGACATGGCGGCACTCTCAATATGCGGCGAGCCGAAAGTCCTTTCGTGTGCTTTGGTGGAATGAAAGTAAGGGGTGGGAGATCCTCGAACCCCTCCCCCTCCCCCGGGCTGCTCTCCATCCAAATTGGGGGCGGAAGTGAGCTACATCGCATTGTCACCTGTAAGGTGCTGGATCCCAAATTAAACAGACGGACTGATTTAACAGGGACAGGGAAAATGGACGGAGCATCAGAACTTTGTTAGTGGCTTTTACAGGTATTGCTCCGCCGCACTATTGTACCCAATGGGAGTTCGGTTGGCCCGAATCAGAAGACAGCCCAACAAAACATTTACAGAGATACTTTACATTAGGACTAGATTTTCGTATTGAATATACGATTACAATATCACAGTATACAATTATTACAATGAACTTAATCGATTAACAAATATCAATTAATATTATTTTAGTAAATATATATATACGAATTTTTGAAGTATACCTATATGTATTAACATTATATAAACGAAATTTAGAAAGGAAGTACATAAAAAAAAACTGAAAAGTTTCAGATTTTAAATTACGTCCAAAGGGGCGTTTTTTTAAATATTTTGTGTGTTACATTTATTTATATATATATAGCAATATCGCAAAACAGTATTAAAACGAGCATATCCTTTAGAATTTCCGATACAAAGACTCACACGCTGGAGATAAAAATGATTTTCTGTACAAGGTTGCCATGGCTCGCTTTGAAATCTTGGAGTTTGTTAATCAAAAATTCGTTAAGTTTTACAAAAATATGAAATTGATAATAAAACAAATTCCAAATTTCGGCTTCCACATGCCCATATTCGCAGTAGGATTACATCATTCAAAATTCGATGGCTCTATGTACCGTAGTTTTAACATAATGCGATAAATATACACACTTATGCAGATTTTGCATTATTTAATTTCTTCAAATATAATGCAGGACTCTAACATTGGCTGGCAACAGTTTGAAAAGTGAAACGGACCTTTATAGGGAACCAAAGCAAAATCACAAAACGAAAACAATAGTCCTTCAGGGACAAAACTCCTTTGGAAAAAAAAATTGGATTATGACAGATTAATATAGCATAATTACATCAAACATACATTAGTATAGTGATTCTCAACTACGTGCCCCCAGATTCTTGAAGTGTGCCGTCAAATTTTACGAATGCATGCAATAAAGATTATTTTGTAATTTGGAATAATCTTAGATACGATTATCCGAGAATATCACAAAAAGCTTTCGAGTGTCTTATTGTAATATTTCACATCTTCTTTGTGCAAATTCGGGTTTTTGTCTTTGGATCCTATCAAAACAAAACGAAAAAAATATCTGAAAGCTTTCAGAAGCTACGCCCAAATGGACATTGCTTAAACGTTTTGTGTGTTACTTTATTTATTAAATATCATGATCTTCGCACTTAAATAATAAAATTCAATTCAACAGCAATATCACAAACTATTTAAAAGAGCGTATTTTTAGAATTTCCGATACAGAGTCTCGTGTGCTGGAGATAAAAATGTTTTTTCGCAATAAAAATGTTTGACAGTGTTGTCATGACTCGCTTTGAAATCTTTGAGTTTGTTAATCAAAAATTCGTAAATTCTTTACAAAATATGAAATAGATAATAAAATGAATTCCAAATTTGGGCTTCCAGATGCCCATATTCGGGTGGAGACGAACGTTATTCAAATTTCGATGTCTCTAGGTATCGATGATTTATCACAATGCGAGAAACATACATATATTTATGCAGATTATTCATTATTTAATTTCTTTAAATATAAGATAGGGCCATAATATTTGGTGGCAACAATTTAAAAAGTGATTCGCCGTTTATAGTAAATCAACGCAAAATGCCAAAACGAAATTAATAACCCTTCTGGGCAAATTGCCCCTTTAAGCTAACAAAAAAAAAAAAAAAAAAAAAAAAAAAAAATACACTTTTAAATCTGAATCACGAATTGAGAGCAATTATGAATCTTATGCCCAAATATAAATGAAGTTATGAAAAGAACACTAATCTCAAATTTCACATTAAATGTAATTTGTAATTTATCATCAAATTAACATTTTGTTTACATTATTGTCATGCAATTTTCTTTCATATTTCATTGAAAATCACTATTGTATGGCATTTTTGCAAAATATATTGTAGGTATACATTATTAAATTAAATAAGTAAAACTGTTTTAAATTTATCTTGTCAGTGTGCTGTCAAATTTTTAAATTATTAAAAGTGTACCGTGAAAGGAAAAGAGATTGAGAATCACTGCATTAGTACATCATATAAAGAATGTATTTACATTAGTATATCTAATTGCATCTAATATATTAAATAGGTTTTTAAGGAAATAATTTTGGTAGAATATTTTGTGCATCTTCTGAAACATTGTCGTATTCCTAAGGCAATTATCCTGTTGTTACATTTTCTTTCATTTTTTATCATGCTACAGACAATTGCAACATTTCTGAAATATTACATTATTTTTGTAAATTAATATATCATAATTATAACAGACTACTCGTATTTTTAGTGCAAAGGGACAATTAGCCCTGAAGGACCATTAATTTCAAGGCAAAAATTTCAAGGAATTTTGCCTTGAAAACTATAAACGGCAAATCACTTTTCAAATTGTTACCACCAAATATCATCGCCCTGTATTATATTTAAAGAAATTCAATACCAAAGAATCTGCATGAATGTATGTATGTTTATCGCATTGTGATAAAACGACGGAACCTGGAGCCATCCACATTTGAATAACGTAATCTTCCATAAAATATGGGCATGTGGAAGCCCTAATTTGAATTTGAAAATTGTTTTATTATTGATTTCAGATTCTGTAACACTTCAACGAATGATTGATTGAAAAAACTCATTCCAAAGCAAGCCATGGCAACACTGTACGAAAAAAAAATATTTCAAGTCCAGTGCGCGAGACATTGTATCAAAAATTCTGTATCATTCTCTGTATCAGAAAATCTAAAGATATGCTCAATTTAAAATTATTTTGTGATATTGCTGTTGAACTGAATTTTGTGGTTTGATTAAAACTAAAGCTCGAACTAAAAGGGTGATTCTCCTCACTCGGGATTTGGCGATTGGGTCCCCTAAAAACCCCAGTCGCCCTTTAAAAGGGGAAGTATATAAGGTATTTCACCCGCCTTCCTAGTGTTCCTGCGTGGTGTAGTGTCAGCACACTGAGCCGGTATTTCAGAGGTCTGTGGTTCGATTCCCGGCGAAGGCGTTTGCTTATTTTTCATCTCCTCTTGCTTTCAAAAAATCCTAATGCCTCTTACATTGTGACAAAATTTTATATGTGTTCACGTCATGTTTAAACCTTGCACGCACATTTTAAAACATTCTGTTGCATAATGTAATTCCATATTTAATGTATAGCATTTATAACATTTAGAAACTACTATGAACCAAAAATCCTAAGAATTTCATGTTCAATTTTTATTTTATTTGGAAATGAGTTTATAAAATGTATTTCATTAAAAAATCTGTAATGTTTATATGCATAACATAGTTTAATATTAAAATACTCATCAGATTTCCGGTTCTGTTAGAAGACAGTACCCTTATAAAGAATTCCATCCGATTTCAAGTATGTACTGTTAGCCATTTTTAAAATATCATGCTCTCAAGTTGGAAACATGACGTGAACGCATAAAAAATTTTGTCACAAAGCCGATTAAATTGTAAAAATATTTGTGACAACACAGACTTTCTGGTAACTAGTTCAGAAAGCAGCTATATTATGCAGTCAGCTATAAAAAGTTGGAAGTAATTGCTTTGAAAATAAATAAAATATCCCATTTCTTGCAACAGTCACATATTCGAAGATCTTAAGGGGTTTTAGGTGCGTGAGTCTCGTTAAAACTCACAATGCGTCGACTTGACTCTAACAAACTACCCCTCGCTCGGACGGTAACTCAACTAACAAGAACTAAACTAAAAATTCAAAGATGTTAACAAACAGTAGAATTTCTCCCCAGGGATCAGATAATCCTGTTACCTAAAACCGCGTCGAAAGCAGCAAAGTAATAGCTGTTAAGCCACTTTAACCAGCAATAAATGCAGAACCAGAAGCCCACGCTACAAAGGTACAGTGCTTGCCCACTCTTTCCCTTTAGCTTCTAGAACTCCCTATTTAAATCTTTTCTCCTCAAGGTAGAATTTGCGTTTTTTCACGCGCGCTGCCAAATTTAAATATTCTGGCTTTGACAATTAGGAGAAGTTAAGGCTTATAGGAAAGAAAGCATAAACTTAAATGGTTGTTCAAAATAAATATAAATCCCTACAAGTAACTTAAGTGTAAACTTAACTGGTTAGTGAAAGTAAATATTGTTGCGCGCGTACGGGTTCGTAACAAATTGAATACACAAGTCCGATGAAAAGTGTATAAAATTTATTTTTATCAAAACAAATAAAATAAAATGCTGAAATTTCCTCAGAAATATTTGTATAATATCGCAATATCTCTTAGTAGTTATATTTTAATCTACTAAAAATGTTCAGTTCAATGAAATTTGAAATGAATTCAAAAATACAGAGAAAGCTCACCGCGAATTCCTTACGACAAGAACTAAGTAAACAACTGAATTGAGATGTTTTCCCTCCAGCTTTTATAACTTTTTTTATCATGCACGAGAGTATTCTGGTATTTTCTCAATTTTTCTGTATAGCAAGCGTAAATTTACGAGATATCCATTTATTAAAACGTTAAATGCGCGTGCTCCTGTATTTTAATTTTTTTCGGTGTAGCTTTCTCTTCAAATAAGTCTCGTGCAGCATTGCATGAGAATAAAAAAACAATTTGAATTACAAAGTCTACTAAAAATAGCTAAATAAATACAGAAACCGTAATACTATAAATCCCTACAAGCTTAAAATTTTTATGGTTACCTAAAGAACCGTTATTCGCATAGTTGCCACGAAATTGGCGACCTTCTACTATGGTTGCGATAGTACCATTTCTCATTCTATCCTTTAATCTCTAAATTAGTGGTGCACAATATTTTTAGAATAAGGGCCACTTATAAACCGACATGGTTGTCGAGGGCCAATAGCGTATGAGGAAAAATGTGTGTGTGTGGGGAGGGGGCAATGCAATAGCTTGCTTAAGTTGCAATTTAAACGTGTACCATATCAAATTTAATATGATTTGGAGACTATTACGTATGTACAACATTAAATACATACAACAAATTCTTTTTTACTAGCGGATACGTGCTACATCATACCACAGAGCTTTCCTCAATCTGTGTGTGCCCACCAGCGGCCGAGCGGTAATGTCGCTGAACACTGGTAGTTCGGTCCGAGGTTCGAATCCCGCGAACGGGCTGGCTGCATGGGTGTTTTCGTGGTTTCCCCATGTGTAACGTGTATACGAGCCAGTTTTCCTTAAAAAGTCCTCCACGAAGGCATCCCTCCCTTAAGGCAGATAGCCCTCGAGTGCTTTGCCGTAATCTAATAAACCAAAACCAAACCAACATCAATCTGTGTGCCATACAGTCTAGGAGCAGATTTCGCGCTCTGGTGGTCAAACTTGCTTTGGTTGACGCCGGGAACTTTACTCAATGCCAAATATCACTTCCACAGAACAGAGTAGAAGTATCGAAGGGCAAAGCGGTGAATTGTTTTCTGCTCACAACCCCATCTAGAGGCAACCGATATGTCAAATCGCAAAAAAATTTGAAGAGGTCTTGGCGGGCCACATTCGGCCCGCGTTCCATAGGTTGTGCATCCCTACTCTAAATCAAAATAAAGTGGCTTTTTTCACCAAGCTGTTTTTCATATTGTGTTTCATATTTTTCATAAAAAATCATGTCAAACCAAGAACTGACTGGTAAACTGGGAGCTCATAAACAGCGTAAAAGACCTTAAGAAAAACCCTTTGGTGCGACGTTAGATCTGAATCCTTTCAGAGTTTCTTTCTTTTTTCCAGATTCCGTTCAAGATGAAGATTCTGGCAGATCTTCTTGGTGGTCCGACGGTGGACGCAGTCGAGATGACGAGCCTCTGTATGGACCCAAGTGGCCAACATCCTTCTTGACTCAAGTGCGGGTCTTGTCCCAGCGTAATTTCGTAGATGGTCGCCGTCGAATGTTATCCAAGCTGAACTGGGCCCAGACAATAGGTCTGGGAATTGTCAGTGGGCTCATGTGGTTCCAGATTGAAAGACGCGAAGATACAATCCTGGACATAAAAGGATGGGTAAGAGACTCGACCATTTACTACGTTCGTACGTTTCCAAGCATAGACTTGATGATGTATAACACCAATGGGCAAATACTTTTAAAACTGCGGGCCACAAAAGCTCTTTTTTTAGTGCATCACGGCCTTTGAAAAGTTGCTCTTGTATGATGCTGCTATCTGTGATCAATTAAAAAAAATAAAAAAACCTATTCTCTAAACTTTAAGTAATGTAAAATGTATGTTCTGTTGTAAAAATGTGTAAAATATTAAGGATGAAAAAATTGAAAAGTTTTGAAAAAAGTAATAATAAAATATTTTGAAATAAATTTAATTTTAATTTTAATTTAGATTTTGAAATTTTTTATATATAAATGTTATATTTAAAGAAAGAAATTTATTGTAACATTCTAAATTTATTAAAATTGGATTTCAAGTGGTTTAGTTAAAACTTCACAAAATACTGGCCAAAAGTATGGAAAATTAGAAAAAGATAAAAAAAATCTTCACTCAATTCGGGCTATAATTGAGACTTTTGAAAAGAGTTGACCCTTCATTAATAAAAGGAAAGAAACCAGTATTGATTGTATGCATATTTACAAATTAATTTTTACAATATTTACAAGATAATCCCTTAACTCTTCAAAATTCTCCATCCGCCTCCAGTTAAGGTTTAAGGTAATGTTATCAGATCATAGAGAGTTAAAAAATTATAAAGAAAAGTTAATGCCTGTCTTTTAAATATATAAATTAATAAATTGTGTTGGGACTTGGTTATTAATTTGAATATTAATTAGTTTTCTTATTTCTTCCTTTAAATCTTCTATTTCAGTACATATATTTTTTACTCTGATTATTTGGCTATAAAAAGTGTTTCCTATCATTTTCTCGAGATTAACACGTATTTTGACACAAAATCGGACTTTTTCTGAAATAACATATCAGTTTATTTCCACCTTTCGATTCTACGACTCAAATTATGCCTAGATATTGAATTTTGTAATTTTTGGTGAGAAATTTATGAGAAATTAAAAAATTTATCTTCGCGCATTTTTTAAAATTTCCGTTAAGAATAATGCACTTGGCGGAATTCTTAATTTATAGTAACCTACATACTTTCCTTTTTTTTTCATTGACGCACGCGAGGAAAAAAGGTCCAGCGTTCATTCTTTCAAATAATTTTAAACCACATTTTCGTTATTATCGCTTAAATTAAATACGCCAAATTTTAAAACACGCCAAAATGTAAATTCACGTATATCTTAGGAAATTTTAAATAAAAAATCTGATGTGTACACCACATGACTTCCTTGTACGGAATATTAAATTATAAGCATTTTTTCTTGCATTTCATTTAAACTTATTGGATTGCATTAAATCTATTTCGCCGACAGCGCATAAGCCACAATAGAATAAATGCATTCTTTAAAATTCACTCTAGTATTTGTTTACCATAGCGACACTCTGGCGCTAGATTCACTTAACAGTATTAATAATTATATAACAGTTAACTTATATAATAATTATATAACGAAAAACTAAGTTAACTGTTATATAATCCAATAATTATATAACAGTTAACTTATATATTTCGTTCATATTATAACTCATAATGCACAAAATTTATATCATTTAAAGAATAGAATTATCTAATCGTTCTACACATGTTCTATTCAAATACTATAATAAAGCTAGAATGATGTATAAAAGAAATTAAGCAAACAAAACAAAAAAGAAACAGTTTTTCACAGACGATTGAGTATTTCTCATTTAATTAATTCAGTTCTCACTTCGCGAGAAGGCAAAAATACATAAAAACTGAAAATATCTATATTAAAAATTACGAAGTAAATCTTAAACAATTATTTCCTCGAAAAAATTCCAGAAAGAATTAAGCATTATTTAATTGGCAATAATAAATGAATGCGTTATCTTTGTTGTTGCCAAGCTAAGTTTCTCTAGACTGGCAACAAATCCACTAGTCTCCTGTCTCAAATGTAAACATCAATGGCCGCCATTAAAAAAAGGCTTAGCGGCACTTAGACAACTTTAAAATTGTTGATATTTCAAAAAATATTGCATACAGATTTACTAAGGCGTATAAACCCTTAACCGGTTGTGTGTGTGTGTATTTAATTATGGCAAAGCACACTAAGGCTATCTGCCTAAGGGGAGGGATGCCTTCGTGGAGGACTATCTAAGGAAAACTGGCTCGTATACACGTTACACATGGGAAAACCACGAAAACATCCATGCAGCCAGCCCGTTCGCGGGATTCGAACCTCGGACCGAACTACCAGTGTTCAGCGACTTTACCGGTCGGTCGCTGGTGGGCCTTAAACCTTAACCGGAAGATAAAAACAACATAATACAATCATTTTTAAAGCAAAAAATGTACAATTTACAAACATATAAGAGTAAAGAAACTGAGATTACAGAGCCTGGTAACAGAGTGGACATATATATAAATATATTTATATACGTTTGGTGCGGCCGATTGCAACCAAAATACGAGATGCACATCTACACGTTATAGCAGTCTTATATACAAAATTTCAACATCCTGAGGCTACTCGTTTTTGAGTTATGCGAGATACGTACGTACGCACGTACATACATACGTAAGTCCTAATAACAGACGCCAAGAAAAAATTCTCTTCAGAATTAATTTTAAAGCAAGTTTCGTAAAATTTTTTTGAAGGGAAAAGAGTATTTTATTCTGGACTTACGTACAGATATCACGCAAAAAAATCGTTAAATTGCATTCGATAGCGGTCAAAATGGATATTTTCATTGAAATATGCTGCCTGAAACTTTTCGCGATTACAATACTTCCTTTTTACTTCGTACAAGGAAGTAAAAAACTCTAATTTTCTTCAGGTATGCTTAGAAATGCGTCTACTTCAAGAAGATGTTAAAATTTTTATACGTTATTATAAGAAATGTTTTCGAAAAATTTTTTAAACTATTTAAAAATACAAATTTTAAAAGTAAATAAAAAAATTGGCGAATTATTTTTGGAATGAACTTAAATTTCAATTTATGGAAGAAGGAATCAAGTGCGTTTAATAGAAAAAGAGATATTCATAAAGAGATATTCATATATATAAAATTCAATTAACATGGAGGAGCTAATTTTTTCCAAACTACTCGCACGATTTTGACAAAACTTGGCAGTTCGGCATACTTTGAGTCGTAGAATCGAAGTATGCAAAAACATCGGCATGCCATTTCAGAAAAAGTCCGATTTTGTGTCAAAATACCTATATATAAATCTAATACATACCCTAAGTCGCGCTTTCGAGATATGAAAAACGCAAGTTGAATTTCGTCAATCGGCCCAGTAGAACGTAAGATATAGAAGTTTCCCCCGCAGTTCAGATATTTGTGTTGACGTTTTATATGTTATCATTCCAAATAAGGAGAGCCGCAGAAACTTTCTCCTTGCTCAAGACATTTAGAAAGCTTGCGCTCCTAAAATTTTAAAAAGATTCGCCCATGTAAGGATTGTTTTCGTCATATTAATGTTTGAAGACTAACCTTCGAAAACTACCCGCGAAGGTCACACTGAACCTTTCCCTTCTAACTATTGATTATAATTAACTGATCTGCTCGCGGAATTCGGGTGCATGAGCTTTAAAGTTGGACAATCCATACCGGAACTGATTAAAATAACGAATTCACTTCAATAAAATAAAATAAAATAAAAATTTGAAAGGTTTCAGATTTTAAATTAATTTCATAGGGGCGTTTTTTTAGCATTTTGTGTGTTACCTTTATGAACGTTCTACGTACTCAAACTAGTTCAGTTCAACAGCAATATCGCAAATTAATTTTAAAATGAGCATATCTTTAGAATTTCCTATACAGAGTCTCGCGCGCTAGCGGTAGAAACTTTTTTTTTTCGTACAGTGTTGCCATAGCTTTAGTTTTTTAATCAAATATTCGTTGAAGTGTTACAAAGTCTAAAATCGATAATAAAACAAATTTCAACTTCAAATTAGGGGCTTTCATATGCCCATATTCTATGGAGGATTACGTTATTCAAATCTGGATGGCTCTAGGTATTGTTGTTTTATCACAATGCGAGAAACATACATACATTTATGCAGATTCTTCTTTAATTAAGACACAATAACACGCCGAATAAATACTAATTCAGAAGTCAAACAACAAAAATCAGCGTTATATTTACAAAATTTTCGCAGGACTAGTTTCGATGGTTTTACCGAACCACCATCTTCAGCTGCAAAACCGCAAATGAACCAGATAGGAAAATATAGTGATTAGATAAGATAAGAAAGCCTGGACAAGAATAAGCAAGTGGCGCCATCTGTTGGTGAAACCAAGAAAACTAAAACATAATTTCTTTAAAGGCCGAAGGCAAATTTGGATTGGAATCAGGATCGTTAACTAGAACAGAAAGATTTTTATGAATGTGAAATGCCTCTAGAAAATCCAGTTCTCCAATGGAAGATGTTTTTTTGAATAATTTTGGCAGCAGAAAAACTGAAAGTGTGGTTTTCGGACCAACAATGTTGAGCAACAGAAGGACTTCTGTGTTTCCTTTTTTCTAACATATGCCTCAATGTTCCTTGACGCGAAATTTTATTAGGCTCTCTTAGTTTGGCCAATGTAAATTAAACCACACTGGCAAGGAATCCTATAAATACCCCAGGAAATTCATATCCGGAATGGGGTCCTTGAGTATGGAAACTCGGAATTTTATTGATGGGAGAATAAACAACCCGAAAGTTAAATTTCTGCAAAATATGTGCAACTTTATAGCTAATTGATGGAAAGAAGGGAATGACAACAGAATTATTATAATCTCCTAAAACAAGAGCGTGCCTTTTAGTGTGTTGAGATGAGAATTTTTTAACTGCTTGATTAATAATGTTGGGTGGAAAGCCCCTGTCAATAGCTATTGTTTTTAAATAATTTAGTTCTTCATCAAGGGATGGAGGAGCAAACTTGAAGAGCACGGAAAACATAGGAATAAAATGAAACTAACTTTTGTT